GACCCCGATCATTTGTTTATATCCGGGGTCATTATACTGTCCAGACACCACGCGATGCGTGGGCGTGTGGTGTGAAAAATGTAATCAGTTGCCATTGTTTTACACGGGACGTTACTTGTAGTGTGAGATTTGGTATTGTTTCTGTGACGTTTGCGGAATTTGGACACAATGCATACTTTTTAGGTCGGGCAGACCGAATTACTAGACAGCGGATGTGGTGCAACTGGTCGGATGGTCGATGTATTCAGTGTGAATATTGGACTTGGGACCGATCAATGCGGTCGGTGTTCGGAGTAAACAGTGGTCGGATTTCACAGGTTGTTTTAACATAGGCGTCTATGGAGAAATTTCGGGGCTACATAAATCGGTCGGTTCTGACAGTAGGTCGGTTTATCCAGGGGTCGGTTTTGACAGGTTTTACTGTAGCATTATGTTTTCTAAGGTCACAAATATAATTGCAAATGAAAATACCTGGACAATACTTCCCTTTATGGATTGTGACTTATTTAGTTTTTATTGACAAACGCAACATGTTGCCTTGTAGTAAAAACACTGTAAAAAGTATGTTTTCAATTTCCTGGTTTGTAAAGGAAAGAATACACATAATTTTTAGTTTTGAATTGCTGTGTTTTAAATTAGCATGTTTAGCTATCGTATAAATATGATAAATAGAAATAGCAGCTAATATTTAAAGCTTGTATACTATTATGAACTCTGTTTTTTCGTTAATAACAGAAGAGTCTTGCACGTTTGTTTATTTCTAGTGTGGTAAAGGTTTACTGCGGAGTATGAGAGCAGATCCCAATGCAGTCGCTGATGTGGTACCAGTCGATATACCAGTGAATGTCATGATTGCTTCAGCCTGGTACACTGCCATTAAAAAGTAAGAGCTGAATGAAAGTTTCTAACACTAGATTCCATACAGACCTCATTTTGGATGAGTTGATTCAACACTGTGGGTCGCTTCACTTGTAATGGCTGAGACAAAGCGTAGGGCAGATAACAGCACCCAATAACTATGTAGCATATATGTATTTCTATGTTATTCAATACTGAGACAATGCAGAAATAAATTGTTAGCAATAGATGATTGCTTCTATGACCCTATCTGAGAAATCTAAGGAGTTGGTATAGAAATATAAAGAAATAATTTATGAATGATGAATTTTTGGAAAAAAGTATGAACTATTATAAAAATTACCATAGTGGATGTGTAGTGTACTATATATATAATAGTGCTTAAAGTAACGATGCAACATAATGTAAATGTACATTTTAGTGTACTATATATATATTTTTTTTTTGTAGGCCCTCATTAATACCAGTGTACAATGTCACAACAGGTGGGATTAATCCCTTTAGATGGGGAGAGATGGGTACGTATGGGTTGTCACATTGTTGATATTAAAGCCACCAACTTGTTTATCATGTACTGTATTCGACCCATCATTCACTTTTGTGGGATTTCTATTTTGAGGGTCATGTTTGACATGTCGTTCATGTCGTTCTGTTTCGAAATCTATGTCTAGTCATGAAACTTGGTCACTGGACATTGTTTTACTTTTCTGAATAGTAAAATTAGTGTCTATTTGACCATTAACTGTTTGTTGAAATTGACCTTGTTTGCAAGAAACAAAATCAAAAAAAAAAACTTCTTCTGAAATCAGTGCCAATTCCCTTCCGTCAGTGTTACACTTCATTCTGATTGGGTAATAATAGATTTGATGTTTTGTGGATTGCCAAATTTCCTTATGGTTTATGCACATTTAAGGGTATTTTTAGGTGGAAAAGGGCATTTCATTCAAACTTGGAATATATATTGAGTATTATGAGACACATCTTTAAGGGACATAGTTTTGTGGTTTAAGCACATTTTAGGGTTATTGTTCTGGGCAAATTGGAAACTGACTTGTTCCAGTTGATTCACAAACTATTCATTTTGTAAAACAATATTTCATTTCCCACAAACTCCCCCAAACTTGGCACATGTAAACAAAAAAATGTAAAAATCATGATTTTCTGAGTTGAAGTGTGGGTGTTAAGTTGGTCGAATACTGTATTAATGAATAACCTTAATCTCAACATCAATGAAAAATATGTCAAATATTAAAGATGTAATATGGACATGAATGCATAAAATTCAATATTCTTGTTTGATAAATCATGCTCTGATTAGTAATAACCTGAAAACGCTGTTCTTGTAGCACTCATGTGAGTATTCAGGACAATGAAATCCTACATGTGTGCACTGGTTGTTATGGTAAATGTACAAAAATAATTCACATGTGTATTAGTGTTTTTGATCTCTCATCTATGGAAACATTTTGGTCTACAGTATGGGGTATTTTGAACAACAATATTAAAAAATGTTTTCGTCCATATTACATTTTCAAAAGCCTGACAAAATTTGTGTTCTGTGGAATCTAAAATGGTTATATGTTCTGAAAATCTGAGAAATGCACTGTTTTTGTCTTTTAAAATGCCATATGGTCATACTGTCATGTTCAATATGGGTTAGCACGGTGGGTACATTGTTTACAAAAACATGTGAATTCAAATATAACTATGCTTGCTGCAGAATTGTTTTTGTCTGTGGTCTACCGATCAAATTTACATCAAATCTTCTGATTTTCACTCTCTTGTCTACTGGTAGCACTTTTCCATGGAACAAGAATTTTGATTGGTCCTACAACATCATGTATCATCTGTGTACATCTCTGTCTGTTACAGTAATTTGCACTCTATAATGTTATGGCTGCATCACAATGGGTTCTTTTCATTGTTTGAATATTTGTGCAAGTTTTTTTTTCAATTTTTGTTTTTTTTGCATGTTGTGTTGATTGTAACCATTCTCAGAAGCCGTAGTTCCATCCTTATTTAAACGATATCCACTACAGAATGCGTTTAGACGACCTTCAACTAGTGTCACGCAAGGAGCGTAAGTCATCATAACATTTTCATTTCATGGTGTTTTCCCACAATGCACCATTCCTAATCATCATATTACTTTCTCTATTATTTCTTGGGCTTGGTCTATAAAAGAAAGGGAAAGAAAAAATGTTATGCAAAATTGTCAATTATTATCATCTCAGTTTTTTTAATCTTGCATTGTGGGAAGTCTAACTTACTTTAATACGTGGATCATCAAAGACAGACCGAATAATCAACAAACTAGCGAGTAAAATAGCATTTGTCTGCTCACACAAGTGTAGGGTAACATATATACAGCAAATATCTAGACGTTAAGTTGCATGTTTTTTGATTACGCTCTGTCTATGAATTGAATCCTACTGTTGCGATGGTGACAATTGTTCCACACCCCCTTCTTGATACATTGGGAATGACTTCCTTACAGATATGGTTGTAGATATTTATAAGAGATTTCCGCTTCGTGGTAGTTTCCGCCGTCCACACGGCACGATAACGGAGAATCAGTAAGACAGAGTTTACGTCCACTTATTTGTCAGCATGTTTATCTTTTATTAATAATTGTCAAGATGTGAACAGAGTGCAACGAGAAAAATGTGCAGAATGATTTATTATTATACACCCAACAGTGGAACTTACTGTAAGCCGCTTTATTTGCTTGTGTCTCTACAAATGCCATAAAATCATGATAATTACTAGCAGTGAAAATTAAGCGGTTTACAATCTGTGTACCGGATTCTGCTGTAAATTGGCCCCAGGCCGTTAAACTGCAGTTTGGGTTTTAAACAAATAAAATGGGACCAAGAAATCGCCCAGGGCAGTTTTTTAAGGTGTGTTTTTTTTATTTTTTGGCGTCATTTTTCAGACACTTCAATCTTTCTTGGCGCCTAAAATACTAGTAGACTAATCCAGGTCAACTCATGGAAAACATGGCAGATATCCTACAGCTTCGAGCGTTTATAATATGCGACCGGATTCATTCACTTACAATGAAACTAAGTTGAATTTTATTTGCATTTCATAACAATTCAACGAATTTATTATAATCACTACTAATCACAACACTTGTGAAACGCAGCATGACCGAATTGCGTTACCATGATCATTTGCTACTAAGCAATGCAGTTGTGTTCGTTTTTATTTGGAACTTCTTTTAGAATATATTTCGTTACCAATAAAATTAAAAAAAATAATTGTATTTGGCGTACCAGGCTTGTTTTTTTGGAGAAAGATGACACTGGGTGACATAATGAATGGCGGTCTACTTTTTAATTCAGCAAGACAAAAATTTTGATTAGCTTCTTCAGTGGTTTCTTTCGTCTCGGGTGGTCTAACTGCTGGCGTTGAAATGCAGCGCAAGTAAATTTTTCAATGGAAATAGAATTAAAAAAAAAAGTATTTAATAATTTTTTTGAAATGTTGTGCCCCAAATAAGGGCCCACCAGCCGTGAAAGGGCAATTTTTCGGATGGGCCAATTTACAACCGAATTCGGTACTACCGGTAGCAGTCATTGAAGAGAATACACTGGGTTGAGGCATAATATACAAATATGCTGCATTGTATACATCTGATAAGATAAACAATGAAATGTACATATTACTGTCTAAGTCAAGTTCAAGTCAATTGTTTCAGCGATTGTTTTCAATCACCCATTTGGGTAGCATTTCTTCATGATTTAAATTTTTTAAGTGTAAAGAAAAGTGTTTAAAACAAGAGGATTTTTTCCCCCATCTCATCTTGATTACATATTATTCAATAAACAAACGTCTAAAGAAAATTAAGCTCAGACATGTTATGAGCAGTAAAACATAAACTAGGTAGTATGTTTAAAACAGATTGATACAAGTGTTTTTGAAAACTTTGAGATAACAATTTTTTTCGCGACTCAATCCAGGAAAACCATTATACAATTCTTTTTAATCAGTGATTTTCAAATGAGAACAAGTATATTTACAACAGTGAATGTATAACGTTTTGGCTGGATGTTTCGGCTTGGTTGCTTTGATCATGGTTTATTTTTCAGTGGGATGTTTCCAGGGTAATTTATATGGCTTATATAACATTCCAAACATTTCTATTATATTTTTTCATTTTTTTCTGGTTCTAGTTTCCTCAGAAAGAGTGAATTTTAGCATACTAGAAATAAAATACATTTTTAGGAGTAAAAAGCCATATATTTGTGAATAAAATGTATTCTATGTATAAATAAAAGTTTAAAAAATGATGATGGTGATGATGGTTGAAATTGTGTTTTTGGTTTCATAATGACTGTAAAAGCCAGTAATAGAATTGAGGGTCAGGTAGTGAGCTCTATTTTTACTGCACCAAAAATATATCCCTGGTCAAAACTTCAAGGACAAATTTTGTAAGCCAAATTGACAATCTACCATGTACAGCTTTATCTATAACTTAGTCTGTTAAGAATATATCTTATAATAAACTACTAGAAATTTGTGCGATATAGACTGTTCAGGACATGTTACATGCGCCCCTGATACATGTGTACATTTTGCAGCATATCATTCCTTTAATTCTTTTGGTGTTTGTCATCACAGTAGCCCCTGTATTCTCTGGCATCTCTGATTTTAACTTACATTGCCTTAATTGTCTCTCGGAGGAAAAATTTGGAAAGGATCATTCCAACAAAATTTTGTGTGACTGAAGTTGTTGGCCAGCTGGGGCATGTGGGTTGTCATCGGTGCCTTGTTGCATTCCTAATTAGGAGTTTTATTTGCATGATTGTTTTAGCACAAGTGAGAAACTGATAATTAATATTAACCAGTCAACTTCCAAGTTGTTGTCTTTATGTGTGGCGCAAGATGTCTTTACTTTGGAGTGTATGGGACTGTAACTTGTGTCTCACTATTTGCGACAACGTTAATGTGTTTGATCCAATACTAGTACCTCTCCTACTGTTATGGTATGATGGGGAGCAGTTGTAATAATTGTGCAAATAAGCAACTATTTATTTTATTGTTTTTTTCCTTTCACAGAGTGGTACAAGAGTATTGGAACATAGTTTGTCATACCATACCAGGTTACTTCTATGATTTTCTACTCAGACTTACAGGGCAAAGACCCAGGTAGGATTAATTTGCCACCATTATGTAGGTTAAAACTTGTACAAAACTTAAATATACATATATTTAATTATGAAGTTAATCAGAATTAATTATTAATTAATATTTCTGAAAACTTGTGTTCTCACCTGAGATTTCTAAGTGGGAAATTCTCACCTCATTTAACAAATTTTATTGTTACTGATCTTTGCTCAGATTCCAGGATTTTTACTCAAACCAACTTATATCCGACGATTTTTTTGACTAGTTCATGATCACCAATTCTTTTTTGTACCCCTGACAAAAAAAAATTTAGTTCTTGTTTGATTTTATACTCAAGTTGTATATATTGTCAACCATGTTAGAAAATGTATTTTTTTTACTGAGTGTTTGGTAATTAGGAATGGACATATACTTTCCAGTTAGCTGATCTGATCTGATCTCATCTGAAGACATTTATCAAAGATTTTTGATTCGGAATGCATCATTTATGGGCTAAATAGATCAGATCTTTTCAGAGAAAAATTTGTGAAATTCGCACATCCTAAAAAATTCCACTATCTGGATCTGACAAGTGTATATATAAATATGTATAATTTGCATAGAAGTTGATTTGTTTATTTTTGAATATCACATTTTACTATTTGTTAGTCTAAAACATTTCTGTGAATAGTTTAAATTAAATTAAAACATGACCATTTGATAACCAAAATAATCACATCACATCAAAATTACAGGCACATCTGCAATAGAAGCACACTCAAACCAAAATTGCATTTCTTGTAGACTTGCTTTGAATAAACCATCATGTTGTTATATGCAAATACATAATCACTCACACTACTGAACACCATGCTTGTAATGCACATATATCAATTAGCTTGTGGAACCATGGTTACAAATGACTTTGGAAATACTGTACAATTTACATACTTATGACCCCCATTAAAAAAATTTGCTGATGTTGTTTGGATTTCCTAATGTTACAGAATGGTACGTATCTATGATAAAATGAAGAAAGCAATGGCGACCCTGGAATACTTTACAACAAACACCTGGGAATGGGCAAACGAAAACACAGAGACATTATCACGTGCACTCACTAAAGAAGACAATAAGGTACATAACAATTTGTTTGACTCGCTAGTTACGCTCACCTTCCTGCGGTTGAGAGCATGAATGAACTAACATTTTCAAAATTTCTATATGAAAGTTTCACAGAAATATACTAGTAGAAATTTAATTTTGTCCAAAATCTTGCGTTTTGACATTTAATTTTTTAAATATATTATTTTCACAGGTATTCTTCACCGACGTTCGTCCTCTTCATTGGCCCACCTACCTGGAGAACTACTGCCTGGGAACGAAAAAATACGTTCTCAACGAGGAACTCTCCGGTCTTCCACAGGCTCGTGCACACCTGAAGAGACTTCGCAACATCCGATACACTTTCAACACGCTCCTGTTTGTTGTGATTTGGCGGTTCCTGATTGCCCGATCTCAAATCGCACGAAACCTGTGGTACTTTGTCACAAATCTCTTCTTCAAGTTTGTCCAATACTGCAGATTAACCAGCTCAACAAGTTAAACAATTTGAGTAACATAAAAACTCTATTCACTCGAATATATTAAATTGTCAAAACCAATTCATCATGAATGATGGAGTGAGATAGTAGGCGGGTTCTACTCCGCTATCATGAATGGTGAAGTCAGATGTTCAGTATTCAAGATTGATATACTTGGTGGGTACCACACCCCTGTCATGCATGGTTGTGTCCCAGCTCAGTAACATAAATAGTGAAGTCTGATAATTAATATACAAGATTGAATTTGGATGAGTCCCAACTCCCTCCTATCATGACTATTTGGGTTGATTAATAGGGTTAATTCTTAAATCACTGGGTGGGTTAATAAGGTTAATTCTTAAATCACTGGGTGGGTTAATAGGGTTAATTCTTGAAACAGAGGGTGGGTTAATAGGGTTCATTCCTAAATTAATGGATTTGTTAATGAGGTTAATTCTTAAATCACTGTACACTGTCAAATCTTTTCTTTTAACTGCCTTATAGTAACAGGCCGTTACGGTATGTTGCGTTATGATGTACCAGTATTGGTATGACACACGCGTACATTAAATACTTCACGGATACTTAATGTAAAGAAATTTTTTCAACATTACCTTCATCTTGCATAAATTGTGATGTTCTGAATTTACAAGATCAAAGTTGGTCACATGAACACAATGCAGCGCAACTTTGCAATGATGATGTTTCAACGCTAGAAAGTGAAATTGAATTGCATTGTCTTTCAATATGACAACTCGTTGTCATTCTGTCTGGGAAGTCAACGCAGGTAATGATTTGTTGTTTTTTACGAAATTATCATGTTCATTTATTTGAATTTTATACAAAATTTGAAGACAAAAATTGTAATACTATTAATTCACGTTGTGTGCTTATATAATTTTTACCTGGACCCATCGCCTCATATTTATTATTGTTGTTCGCTAAAGGTTATTCTGTACTTGATCATGAATTTTTTGAGCAATATTTCAAAATATCCTTCATGCACGAGGTATACTTTATTATTCAAAATATAATTACAATTTGTTACTCTTTTTTTTTTTGTTCCCAATACCTCTTTGTAAATACTTCCAATTTCACTTAATGTATGCGATTTAAAAAAAAAAATTGATTATTGGTAAAAGCCAGTGTGGCCATAGATTTTTCCCCCACTGTGACTGCAGCTGACATCATAAATAATGGGTTTATATAATCATGTATTATAACTTGTCAACTCTAAATGGTGGATGTCATTTTTTAACTACACCAGATTAATATTCATCTTTTCTCCCTTGTGGATCTCCGGCAACTGCTCAGAGTAGAGAACTGATGAATTATTTGCTTCATTTACATGTTTCAAGCATTATAATTTATTAATAATAAAAGCTGCGAGATCATTATTATTTTGTTACATTTTTTTGATTACTCTTACCTAAATACTGTGGAATACTCTTTTTGGGCGTTTTGTATGGAATTTATTTTCACTGATTTTTGAAGAGTTTAATGTGAAATACAGGAAAAAAAGTATATTCGCTAGATTTTATTTTCACGGAATCATCCCTTCAGTGAAAATAAATTCCAAGCGAAAATAAAGTATTCTACAGTAGTTGAGTTTATAGCTGTAAAGTGCCACTGCCGGGCTGTAACACGCTCTTGATGTTATGGTAACACTGTTAGCGTGCAACTAAGATGCACATCAAATCAATCATTTAGTATTTTGCCCAAAACATTCACAAGGCAATCAGTTTACTTTTAAATTTGTTGTTCAATTTTTGTTTCTTCCACATCATTTTTTTAAAAAAAATCAATGCAATTGTTCCCGATAATCAGAAAAATAATTTTCGATTCAGGGTGAAAATGATGCGTGTGGTTGAATTCCAAGCCTGCATTAAATGTGCAAGTCATGTGAATCGTTCTAATTTTATCAAATGATAAATTTGCAAATTGAATGAGAACTAGTTTAGTGCTGGTGACGCGCGCATTTATATATATATATATATGGACTCTGAAAGGCAATGACTTGATAATGGCTTAACAGTCTTTGTATGCAACGAGTACTGTATTATAAAAGACGTTCAGTCAAGATGGTGTATGTCTAGTATTAACCAGAGTGAACTTTCCACTCACTGATCTATTACCAATAATGGGGAAAATGCTTGAAATAAATTCTTTAGAAATAAAAGTTAAATTATGGTACTAAAATGACTGATCTTTGATAAGGTAATTTTTTTTCTTAGCTACCAGTCCATGTGTTCATATAGTGCATCTGGGAATGTTTCACAAGAGAAAAAAACAGATTGTACGTGTATGGTTGTACGTGTATGGTTAAGTTGTCTGTAAAGTATCTTGGACAATATACAGAAATGTAGTTTCATTGAAATGAGAAACTCCAAAAACAAAATGATCGAATTATGCATTCAAGATGGCGGCCCCCATATAGTAAATATCGCATTTATTTTATTGCGCGTACACTAGCTGACTGCCTGAGGGCATAATTGAATGGTACAATTAAATTTGCGTTGTCCACAGCTCTGCATCGTACTAAACATCTCAAAATTTGGCTAATACGTGTTGCATCCATGGCCAAATTGCACATGTCTAAGTGGATGTGAACCAGAGAAATGTTTTAAAACAAACGACTCAGTAACTGTTCTATTGGACTGCACATTATTTAAACACCATTCACTCAACAAAATACACACTGAAATAAAACTGGCTTTTATCACTTTTTTTTAATTTTCTCAATTCTGGTAAAGTTACACTTCAGATGAACGTGACCATTATAAGAAATTTATGCCACCAGTGCAGAGGCTGTTGATGATTCGTACTTCCAGTTAGGAGGTAACACTTGTTTGCGCTTGTAGTAACGAGCAAGACGGTGGATTTTGCTCTCAATAAGGATAAGACGGAATTTGGCATCTCTGTCCTGTAAACAAATACAAAGTGGATTAGTAGTGAACTTCCTTTACCTGCCATGGAATGTCCTGAAACTTGAAAGTAACCACAAATGGAAAGACACTGTATTCTACAAGGCCAATCCAAGCATTTACAAATGACCAAATCAACACAATGATATAATTAAGGCAGTTCCAGCTCAATTTGAATTTTTCACTGCCTTAATTCCTGCATGTTAATTGTACAAGAACATTGACCACAAATTCTGAGAGGTCAACAATCACGCATACGTGTACTGTATCACATATTGCATAACAAATGTTTGAGAAGTATATAGCATATTCTATTTACAGGGCCATGGCTCTTTTTCGCCATTATAAATAATTATTTTTCACAGGACTCACTGAAGGCCTTCAAATGTATGAAAAAATTGCACGAAATGTACATCCAACAGTTGAATTGGGGATGATAGGTTTTAAGACTCCTACTCAGAGCATCAAGAAAAATGCGAGACTGAAACAAATTTTCTTGCATCTTGGGGGCTGGTTTGAAACTAAATATATTAGCAGTTAACATTTCCACCGGGTTGCTTAAGGAAATGTTTTTAGGGATGTTGTCTTTGTCAAGTGCCCAGTCATGAGGTTTTGGGAGATTGATAACCTGATAATATATACTGTTGCACATGTCCTCAGTGCATGTTCAATAAACATAAGAGTTGAGAAAACTTTATAATATTACACAATACTTGCCTTGCGATTTCTTTCAAGATGCTTACGTACTGCTACAGCCTTCTTGATGAGATGGTAAAGATCCTCGGGTAGATCGGGAGCCAGACCCTTTGCTTTCAGAATACGTAAAATTTTATTTCCTGTAACAAATCTAACCTGTGCCACACCATGGGAATCCCGAAGGATAACACCTAAAAGAAGAGAAAAACAGAATTTAGAAATGTATGCAAAGGAATGAATATTCAGTAGCAGAATGCTGTGAAACGGGTATCCACAAGAAAAATAAGACTCGTACAAGGTCTGGGAATGTATGCCTTATTAAAATTGCACTAGGAATTCGTACAGCTTCATTAGGATCTTGAGACTAATATTTGATGGTCTGAATGTGCATGTGAAATCACACATGTTGAACAATATTCAATAGTTAAGTTAGTAAGGTTATTCAAACTATCAAATTGTAAGCAGAAATAATTGCTGGCGTTCAAACACATTGAAGTTTGAACATTATTATACTATTGCCACAAACCGGGCAAATTTGGATTATAAAATATGTTGTATAAAATACACCAGACACAAATAAAGCTCTATGAATGCTCTCCGAGTACAACTGTAATTACAGAATTGTGCTTGATATAGCAGATTACCAGAATTTGGGGAGTCACAGAACAGTACACAATACAACTGCTAGTCACACAGATTAGACTAACACGCGTGTCTGGTAAGCCCCAGTGAAAAAATATGAAGTCATTTGAAACTCGTCTCGGCACCCATTATCACACAGGAGGCTATTCAATCAGTCCTTGTGAGCCAATCTGGGCAGGGGGCTGTGCACATTACAAAGGTATTAGGTGTGCACTGATTTAGCAAAGCTGTTGACACACACCCCACAACCTTGGGGTATGCGAGACAACTATGGGGCTAAATTTCAACATAGTACTGTTCATATACGAGTGAAAGGGTTTGGCATTTTTTCTTGAAATTTACCTCCTGGGGACAACTATGTAGGGATAAGGGTAGGGCGAGTTGATGTACTAAAATCATGGCCATAATGAATAGCCAGTAATGAATAACATTATACATAATTTGCATACTGCTCAAAATTTTTTTTTTAAATACTTTTACTCATGTGTATAAATACACTGTACCTCAAACAATGACTGTTAAGATACAATTAGACAGTACAATGCAAAATTAATTATATTTGGAAGACTGGTAAATCTTAAGGTGGTAGGTTGATGCCTTTTGAATTTACACGACTATGATTTTACACATTACCACTGCGTACACGTGCACTTTGAACATCAAACATTGCATACTCACCAAGTTGGTTGTGATTATTTGGTCAAGTTACTCTTGAAGGGGCTTTCAACCTATCATACTTGTCTAGCTTAGCACCCAGGATACTTTGCTCACAAAATTGGGTTTTTTAGGAAGGTGGGCGCTTAGCCGAGCAATGTACTCGAATAACTGGCCAAAAGACAATTTTTCTTCACCATGTGCCAAACTGTAATAATGCCCCAAAAGTAGGGGTGGGCGCCGAGTGCTGAGTTTTGTCAACAATACAACTGACAATTTACAAGTAACTTACCAATCTGTGATGGGGTAAGACCTTTTTTTGCCAATTTGAATATCTGTTCTTTCACATCTTCTGACGTCAATTTTAACCACTGAAAATTGAAAAATAACATCATTGACATCTGTGTGTAAGGCTTTATTGACATCCAGGAACCAAAATGATACGCTGAGAAAACAAAGTTTAAGCAAGGCTGACAAGTAATGCCCATTATTATACATCTGTCACCGTAACACCACAAGTTACAGCGTGCCTTAATTTTGCGGTAGTGCACTGGGTATTTTCATCCTACCATATTAGGAAACACGAATTCCAAATGTGGAACGATTACACGCACAAGTCTCCTCTAATAATAAAAAGAAACATGGTTTCCCCCAGGGTTTGACTGGACCCACACAAGGAAGTTTGCTAAATCTGTTCAAAACATTTTGGATTTCGGTATTCTCATGATGCATCTCTGGGAGGAAAAGATGTATAATAATAAGGTTATTACGAGAATAGCTCAAAGTATGCACTCTGACAGTAAACGGCATACTCCCGCTGTACTGTCATCGTGCATACTTTGCAGTATCCTCCGTAATAACCTCATAGTATCAATCAAATATGATGGAAAATCAACTCACTGTGGGAACACTTCTCCTGTATGGAAGGGCTGAGGCGGAAATACCCTTGCTGAAATAAAAATGTACATTGGCATTATTATTTTTAATAATTATGAAATATTTACATGAATCACTTGAAGAGTTCAGTTAGATACTCATCCATTCACACAAATGGTATTTTAAATTTGAAAGATTGTGGTTGATGGACCAGTGTTTGACAAAAGTCTTGTGCAACACTGTAAAATGCACATTTACAAACTCTGCCACCTGCCCTTTAACATATAATTGTTGCATTAAGGTAGCTGCAGTTGGTCTAGCAATAAGAGTATTCATTTTACAGAGCTGGATGTTAACTCTTTGCCAAAATGCATGTATATTTACTATAGTTCGTTAAAGCAAGTCAGTTACTATTCATTTGTGCGAAAAGCAATTTAACTTGTCACAAGATGCAAATTGGTTAAATTTGGTAAACTACTACCTTTATAAAGATAAAGAACTAACAACTCGGCACCACCACAAATCCTCAAAAATAATGCCACAGTTGTGCAAGTCTAAAATTCTCTCAATTGACACACCTACTTAAGCGCTCGTGTGTTGGCTACAGTGTCTGCAAGAGACAGTTCAAACAATTTGCTCTGACCATCAGTCACATTTTATAGCGAGAACGACTGAAGGCCACTCACGAAGCAAACTATGCGTGTGTATGTGTGTATTTGCATCTGCACATGCACAAACAGATAATTTTTGAAATGATTGAAACAATCATGCAGATGGCTAATTCAAGTTCGGTGTCACAGCACTTTCCAGTCACCGATTTCAGCAGAAAAATAGTTGTATTTCGGGGATGTGATCATTATTTTCTAAGCTTTGAAGCTATAAAATAACATTTTTAAAGGTAGGTTTCCTGAAGTTGAAAAACACTAATTTGTTTTCTCCCTTGTGTATGCAAGGTAGATCGACCATGGTCAACCTGATTATCACACATTTCTGGTCACAAAACGATTAATTTCGTGAGTTGAAGTGTTATGTGGTCATGACGTGCACATTTTCGAGTTAAGAAAATGTGTGAACCACGTAATTTTGTTGTCTCCCATAGACGTACGAACATGTTGTAGAATGGGTCGGGACACTGTAAATTACCGCTAATATTGTGTTTACCGTAACCCAACAGCCAGGTAATAAAAGTCGTCGGGCCCACATCGGGCCCTGTGGCCAAACACAACCAAATCCACACTCCCTTATATATTACAGACTCCATCTCCACAAACCTTAATTTCTAATTGTCATCGGAATTTCGCCAACCATAGTGACGTATATTATAAACCATTATCTTACACCACTAGCGACATTACGTTTGATACAATGACGACCAAACCAGTTTTATTTTTCATAAGGCACATGTGCGCCGCCATTTTAGAATCTGACTCGTTGAGGGACCAAATGCGAAACTCAAATTCACGAACAGATTGTAACGCGAAACTGAACGATGCAGTTACACTAATCACGCAGCGATAATCTACATATTCTATTGTAACAGTTAATAATGTTTCGTTTCCATATATCTGAACGAATACCACCATACAGGGCTATGTTTCACCTACCCCGGTGCGTGCATACGACCCATGTTGGCAGCTTGTCGGGAAAAGGAAGAACTTTCGTGACGTGTGCAAAAAAACAAATTTCCCACAATGCACCTCGCGGGTACTAAAAAATACCTTCTAAGTTACTTTGAATGAACAAACCAGACCCCTCGGAAGAGTTGTTTTAGAAAATAAATCTGTTACCTTACTTTTAGTGTTGTCAGCTAAACCATGGAGGTAAAAAGAGACCTCCATGGCTAAACGGACATAATGTATTTATAGTAGGGCGACAGATTTACTGCCAGATACATGTTGTAATGAAATTGTGATGTTCGGAACAGTTTCTCAGGTATTCTCACAGTCGGAGCTACGTCACGATCCCCCAAACGTTGCCAGGACCAATCACAAACAGGAAAAGACAATGAATTTTCGGATTAACACCTCTGTTTTCCCCTCAAGCTAACCAAATTTCCCCCAAGCTAACGAAAAAATCTTTTGTCTTCTACTGACTTCCTGTTCCGGTCCGTTTGTGAGAATACAATATGGAGCAGACTTTGCAATGGAGTAAACGGCATGGTCGGCCACAAGTGTTTTAGGCGCATTGTTCTTCCTTTTTGCTACCCATACTTTTTTTGTAACATTATTTAGAGAGATGGCCACACAACCCTGTCATGTAGTCCCAAACATGAACATGACTTCTGTGGCAAAAATGCACTATGTGTCTGCAAGCACTTGCAATTTGCACATACAAAAAAATCAGGAGAGACAACAGTGACATTCAATGTTCGGAACTGTCGCCTGTCACAAAAATCTATTTAAAAAAAATGTAGCTTGGGGAAGCACCTTCAACTTCTTTGTCTCATAATTTCGAGTTATTAATTTATATTATTATACTTATTTGTGTAAGTATATCTTTCATTTGTATTTGTTTAATATGGGTATCATACACTTCGTTTCATGAAAGCAAGAATGTGTTTTTTTTTAAATAAAATGTTTATAATTGCTTTATGAATTTTAAAACAACGCCTTAGCGGATGAATACCTCCCGTATACAATATCTTTCATATAAATGACAGTGAACCGGCCAGTTATTGAAGAAAATCAACGAAGAAACATGGGCGTTTCTAAATGGTTTCTAAATAGTTTGTATTTGAATGGAGAACGGAGATCCTCCGGGGGAAGTGTTTTACAAATATTTCACAAATTCCCATAAAAAACCCCACCATGCCTTCATGGTACAGAGTGCTGCAATAATATGAATTCAGGGCGTATATTTGGTGCGAGTCAGATTACTGAGAGTGTCATGATTTATATTTCAGCCTAACGGTGGTTGCCATGGCATCTACTGATAGGGGTTAAATGATGAGGTCAGTCAGTTTGACAGTGGTTGCCATGACATCTACTGATAAAGGTTAATGACAAGGCCAGATGGCGAGCTAGTCGAAATCAACCAAAAACATCTTATGAGTCTGCAGTTTTTAAGATTACAGTACAGTAGCTGTAATCCTAAACCAATCTTGTTTGCGATTCTAACTAATGTGGTAACTTTGTGGAATGTTAGTGCAAGACTATTACCCCATAAATATTAGTTAGTGTTGACATATAGTAGTGGGTTTCTAGATAGCTTGACGATTAATCAATTGATTATGATTTGTAAAACTTTCATGTGATTGGTTGTTTGTTTGAAGGCAAGGCCTTGGAGTCTCTTATACTGATTGTAATTGGTTAAGGAGTGACAAGAAATAAAGAGTGATTTAATGCTGTCTCGGGTGAAAACCAGGGACTTGGCGGAGAATCGTTTGGAACATGAATGGAGCTTGTGTGTGTTTTTTATGAGCCTAGCGTGGAAACGACCGAATCCCGGTTACCTAAGTGAAAGGTTTTTAA